GTGCAGTTATGATTTTTTTTTCTTTGGCATTACATGTTTAACTGATTTCGGTCTCTCGTGTGTACCATGACTGAATCTCTGACCATCAGCTTCCTGCAGCAACAACTCTAGCAACTGCCGTTGTTTATCAAGGTCCATCTCAGCACCAGCAAGTCATGATCGGATGATCCTATGGTAAAAATCGGAGACAATATTGTTCCAAAAAAGGCGCTACCATATCCGTATCGCTAAACTAATCAGCAATGCAAAATGTGTAGGAAATATTGGTGTACGTATAGGCAACACTGCCAATGTAAAATATACATTGATTGTAGCCGATTCTTTCTTGTAACTGTCAATTCGTCTCCTGTAAACTATGGTATAGCTTTCATAAAAGGATTGGGCACTTAACTAGTAGTTTATAGGCATTCATCTTTGCACGAATGAAAAATTAACAGGGTTAAAAATGACTGTGTGATTTTCTAGCCCATTTATAGATGCATGGCAAGTAATGGTTGAGCATTATACATGTGTATTCATTTGTCATGAGACATTGCACCATAAAAAAATTCTATTGTGCTTCAGTCAAACCCTAAACATCATTACTTCTTGTTTATCAGAACAGGCAGTTGCATTTTGGAAAAACAAGCCTTTATGAAGCTCTGGACCATCGACCAACTAGAATCTAATGCTACTATTGTAGTATACTATGAAGTTCTACATCATGACCAACTCGCATCAAATATCACCAAGAGCGTGCAGTCAAGGACTTCTAACTTTGACAGCTCGGTTAAGAAAAAAGAATTGGAAAGATCATACATATGAAGGCCCTGTTTGGCATGGCTCCATTTCTGGTAGAGCTGCTCCACTCTAAAACTCCGTGTGGAGCCAGCTCCACTCCGAACTCTAAAACTAAAATGTGGTGTTTGGCTAGATGGGTGCTCTCAGTTCCAAAAAAAACGATTTCAGTGTGAATTGCCATTGTTGTCCCCCAATTCAGGTCCCACTTGTCATCCTCTCTACCCCATCTTCTTCTTCAGAAGTCTCCTGTGTTTAGCTTAGATGAAATCGTGATGGCACCATTGCTGCTACAACGTGTACTTTGCTCATAGCTTGATTCATTACGTACGTGCCTCTATCTTATAGCATATCCCTATCTATCCTGTATGAAGATCCCATCCCAGCTCAGGTACACCGCCGGCTCCACGCACGCCGTCGCCCCCGCGAACCCACGCATCTGCCGCCAGTCAAAGTTGTACTCGCTGTCGCCGCCGCAGCAGGCCTTGCGCGTGCTCGCCACGTCGAAGCCCAGCGAGGAGGTGTTGTGGAGGAGCACGAGGAAGGAGTCGCGCCCCCCGGACGCGACGCTCGCAGCTCCGCCACCTCGCGCTGCAGCCGCGAGTTGTGCTTGGCGGGGAAGCGGTTCAGCACCCAGAGGCACCCGTACGCGTCGTAGTTCGCCGGCGGTGGAGGGAGGCAGCGGCGAGCTGGCGCGTGAAGAAGGCACGGCCGCCTGCCGGCGAAGGCGCGCCCGATGGGGCCGTGGCGTGGCCGCCGGCCGGACGTGAGGGAGGGGCCCGATGAGAAGCAATGGCGGCAGGAGGAAGTCACAACGCGCGGGTTCGCGAGAAAAGAAAACGAATCGTTTTTTTTGTAACGAGTGGCATTGGTGGGTAATTACCCACCAACTCCACGAGGAGGTTCAAGAAAGGGGTTTTGGAGCAAGAAAAGAGGTGCTCCAAAACTCCACCCCCATTTACCACTGACTCCATGGAGTTGGCAGCTCCATGGAGTTTTGGAGTTGGTGTGTTTGGCTGGATTTTTTGCTAGAGTTGGTGGAGTTGTGGAGTGGAGCCATGCCAAACAGGCCCGAAGTTTGTTCAGATATGTTCCTTAATGAAATGGGAGGGGGGGAATCCCTATTCATCTTTTTGCTCACAGACTTCTATTTCATAGTGAAAGAATCATAGGTTTGTTTAGTTAAGCAATGTTTTTTTTTCTCACGGATGTTGCTTGATCTGTCATGGAGGTCATCTAATTTTAACCAAATTTTATTTGCTTTAGTTAAAGTGAACACGATTAAAAATGTCTATGCTCATTGATCCAACAAGCATTTTTTAGCTCGAGCATTTAGATGGATTTCTTTTTCATCACTCGTGGTGGGTTTTGGGGATTCTTCAGGGTTTCACCCCACCACGAGTGACTCAACAAACAACTAGATCAACTGCTTCTACATAGCAATCCATTCTAGCACTCCAATAGGGGAAATTAGTGATGTCAAACTATAGAGGGCCATGGATATCCATCCCAACCACTCTAAACAATGTTGGCTCAATGACGGTTAAGCCAAAGGTCTAAATTAAGCCAACCAGCTCTCGTCCCACTTGATGGAACCATGACGCCTAAGAGGGGTGAATTAGGGTTCAAAAACTTCTACTCTAAACCTGGCCGCTAATTCCACTTATCGAAACCTATGTAAGAAAGTAATATGTCTAGACGTGCAACTAAGGTTTTGCTAACCGTGTTGCTACCTATCTAGAAGAGTAAGTACACAACCTAGGTACAGATAGAGAATGTGAAAGCTTAAATAAATGAGATAGAGATGCAATATGATGACAGCCGCCGCGAGGGCTCTACCCTGGCCCACTAGGCTAGCACCTCGGGTCGTCCTCTCGACAGACATGGTGCTAACCCTGGGTCATACAGAGGTCCCCAGAGTCACTACTCGCAAATTTCCACTCGTGTGAGTTGTACCCGCAGGGGCTGTAGGATTTCACTCCATGAACCAACCATCAAGATTCACATAGATTGAGATCATACATCAAAATTAATTATTAAATAATTTTTAGGATTGAATTTCAGTATATGTAGATTTAGACTTTGTCGGGTGCAATTTTAGACTTTTAATTTTGTATGTGGACTTAAGGAGTGTTGCCACTGTATTCAGAGTAGAGCCAAGTGGAGGCAAAATTAGGCTCATGTACTCCTTGCTCCGCGTGGCTTTACTGACCCCCAACAGCTGTGTTTGATGACGGCTACTGTTGGAGAAGATAAATAGGGCGTCGAAGTTGGTGCAAACATGTGGTCTAACAGCATCTCCAGTAGTAGGAGAATATCTCAACCCCAAAAGGCTTCATCTTCAACGGAACGAGAGAATCTCACCCTCAATATCTCCTCTGACATGTGGGGCCAATTTGTCATTCACACCCTTTCTTCTATTTTTTCTCTCCCCACCTCTTCATTCCCCCGCGACCTCCGACTCTCCGAGCGCCGCATCCTCTTCCTCCACCGCCCTCCTCGTCGCCACTCCCTCCCTTCCTGCGCTCCTCCTCAGCCACCTCTCCTCCGCTGTCGTCACCTCATTTGTTGGCCACGTCGCCAGGCCGCGTCGCATCCTCTTCCTCCGCCACCCTCCTACGCCGAGACCGCCGGTGACATGGAAGATGCCAAATGCGTGCTACCGCTCGTATTGGGGGCCAGTCCAGGTCCCTCATCTTCGAGGGGTCGGGGGCTAGATTTTGAGCGGCTGAGAAAAAAATTTGCTCATTGAAGGTGAGATTGGGGTACTGCTGAAACTCTCAAATCCCTCAAATTATAGTTTTTCTCATTGGGGATGGAAATTAGGGGACTGTTGGAGATACTCTAATCATAAGCAGCTAAAGGATAAAGTGAATCTGCATGGCGAGTGTAGCAACTCAAATTGTGCCCCCTTGATTTACCGGAACAAAGGGGATGTTTGGGACTGCTTCACAAACTCCAATATGGAGTAGCTTAAAAAAAACTAGAGTTTGTAGAGTACCTCTTTAGGTGCTCTCACAACTCCACCATTTTTCCTCGAACAGAGTACGTTGAGCTAAAATTGTTTGGCTAAAAAACGTAGAGCGGAACAGTCTCAGACACCCCCAAAAGATGGCGCCATGGCTGTTGTGGCAGTGTTTAGGAGTTAGGTTGTGTCGGCAGAGGAAGCAATTATAGTAGAGGGAATAGGGATTAAAAAAATAAATACATATAATCTGAAATGGTAGCATGAAGATCCGGACACAAACAGCAAGATATATAAGTTCACCTGTGTGGAGACGGAATCAATAAGAAAAAACAACATCTGATAAAATTAAACAGCCTGACACACACACCAACTCCCAAAAAAAAGGAAAAAAATGAACTCCAGAACCGACCCTGGTAAGACAAGCCTATTGTATAAGTTCGGTTCATATAATAATATAATAGTTCCTACAGCCCTACAGGAACATAACAAAACTTCAACAACCTTTACGACACCAAGAGATTCCTCCAAAGGGTACAAGAATAAGGCCATGATGAACAGCTCAAACATGTCACCAGCTCTCCACAAGTCTCGACAACTTTCTATCAGTTGTTCGGCAGCAGGTGGCAGTTGAAGAGGCTTGCACAATTGGTAAACCTAACATGCCCTCACTGGAGCAAACCATGCCAATTGTGCCAAGCTAATAATATCCCGCAGAGAGGACAAAAGCAGCAATCAGCATCAGTCTAACAACCCAATTGACACCAAGTTCTTTATTTATATACACCAGCACCCTGGCTCTACATTCACAGCCAGCCTGTCAGACTTACAAGATAACATGCCATGCCTTTCAATCAATCAGACTGAATGTACGCTCAAAGGGGGGATGGAATATACACATACTATAATTTAATCATGATGTTTGATAATTTATAACCAGATGACAATAGTATGAAGCAACTGTTCTGCACTCAACACCTACCAAAAAAAAATTCCTTCTTACAGATTGAATAAAGAAATGTAGCTGTACAAGCAAGCACCTAGCTGTCCACAATCCCCACTTGATTCTTCCCCTTCAAGGTCATCATGCAGCTTATAATCCGAGGCTCAGGGCCATGAGAGGGGGCAGCGATATTGTTCCTTTTTCCTGAGTTGTTTATTGGGAAAGAATTGAGAAAAAGATGGTGATGGAGGCTCAATCGATCGTGCAAGGACTGCAGCAAGAAATGGGGAGAACAAGAAATGGAAGGATGAACATTTATGCTGTTGCAATGGCACTGTAGCTAGCAAGGGAGAAGCACATGGAAGAACTGGAGGATGGATCGCGGAGCTCTGTGCAAGGTTCAGGAAAGACCGCCTCAGAGTAGCCAGAAACATTGGAACAAGACCAGGAACTTGAACCAGAATCTGCAGCCATAGAGAAATTGAGATTGGAAAGGCAGATAGCTGTGAATGGGGCACTATCGATTCCTGACAAAACTCCAGCAACCGAGATGTTTGTGCCGACCATGTTCTTCATGGTGACTTGATCGATCGTCGGGAGGTCCGACAGGTCGAAACTGTCATCTGGGTGGGTTGAACAGTTACCAGTGAACTCAATGCCAACATGTACATTTTCCATTTGTACCTCCGAGATGACCACTTCCTCTATGTAACCCCCACGACCTGGTGATGTCTTGAAAGAAATACCTTTATAGGAATCATGGATCCGGAGGTGGTTAACATGAATATCTGAAATCCCACCAGACATCTGACTCCCAAATGCAAGAGCAGCTCCAGAAGATGATAGCAGATCCACTCTGCTAATACGAATGTCAGACGTAGGCCTCCCAAAGGAAATGCCATACTTGTCCCATCCGCTTTTCAGTGAAATTGCTTCATGACTGACACTTATGGTGCTGTCTTCAATACATAAGTTTGAACATGAATCTGGACCAAGAATGAACAATTAGTGAAATAAGTAAAAACTTCTTGTCATCGCTGTCAAGTGCATTTTAGAGTTACAAACTACGAGTAGTTCAGATTCTTTGCTAAGGCTATGGAGGAACAGTTGGGGCATATTATACAGGCTTGGATGTTACAGAAAAACAAGAAAAGGGAAAAGGAGAATCAGTGTTTCATCAGGAATCAGGATGTTTTTGCTGCATTCAGCACTAACGCATTAAATGCTACCAGCAAGAATGAATTAAAATATCTATGCTATATGAAAATAAAACCTAAAAATATGTATTCAAAAAAAAGGCGTGCACCAGTCTTTGAGAGCATCCCATTTGTGCGCGGGGTCTGGGAAGGGTATTAGCAGCAAGCCTTACCCTTGCGATGTGCAAATGCAAGGAGGCTGCGGCTCAAACTCAGGACCTTCCGGTCACAATCGGTAGTGCTCTACCGGTTGCACCAGGCCCGCCTTAAAAAAAATATGTATGTATTCAGACTAGAGAGAAAAAAACATACCTGGAACTATGCCATCAGTCAGTGGAGCGTCCAGTGAGGTCTCAATCGTCATTGTGGACCTTTACGTTGCTAGAGAATACAAAAACATTATGCGTTAATACAAATGCACCTGGCCACACCTTACACACAAAGCTAAGTTTTTTTTTGACAACATCACACAAAGCTAAGTTAATGGCATTGCACCTGCAGTACACCGGATGTATGCTCCAGGCTGGTGAATTTAAGAATGTCAAGTTTGAGATCACAATATCTTCAGAATACAGAAACTCCAAAATATGAGGTCGACTATGGTTCAGCTCATGGGAGCGCAGCCACTGCCACCATACTAAGCCCTGACCATCAATAACTCCATTGTTCCCTGGAATAAGTGGACAAGACATGCAAGGGCCATTAAATTTTGACTAAAGAACATAACAAAGCTGAAAATGCATATACAAGACAGAACAAAGCAGTTACCGGTTATGACAACATCAGTTAAGTTGTATCCGCTTATCAAGCTTCGATGTTCAGGACCAGGAAGGTCTGTCCCTTGGCCATAAGATGGCAAAGGTTCCACGATCGGCCATTGTGATGAGTCCTACAATGAGAAAGAAAACAAAGAAAAGATACCTATGTCAGCACCTTTAATAATTAAAAATACAAAAATCTTCATATCTGGAGGACATGGCACTGCTTGCCTTTTTACATCCCAAAATACATATATGGCGTACAATGTGTAATGCCAAACCACGTTTCTAAGGAGTTATGCAAGTCAAAAGCGAAAAAAGGTTCAATAAAGACAGAGAAGTGACCACAATCTGCATGGCAGGACCTAAGAAACACGCCTAGCCTTTTTCGATACAAGATTAATGAGGTAAGCTTGACTTCAAAACTATGCAAAAGGAAATTGCCTATTCTTGGCTACCTGCCTCGCAGCAATAGCTATGTTTCACCTTCCAAAAACTCACTCCATACAGTAAAAGCAAACAGAAACAACTACAAGACTTATCCAAAAAAAAAGAAAAGAAAAGAAACAACTACAAGCCTCTCATCTAGAACAAAACTTGAATACTACTTATCGTGATACCTGCAAAGGATTTTCCCCATGATATGAAGCAATAACAAAGAACATAAGAGCAAGAAAGATGGCGTCCAAATCCATGGCATGTGACTTTCACCTCACAGATGTCAAAATCACTCCTTCCTGAGGTACATCCAACAACCATATCTAAACAGACTAAGATGACCAGATCAGCAATACCAATCCTACTACCAGCTCACATCCAGCCAATGCAGGTTGAATAGGATAGGCACCAATCGCACACACACTCTGAATGCCAACGCGAGCAGAATCTCTGTAACTACTACTGCCTTAACAACCCGTGACAAGAAACGGAATCGAAAGCAAGGCAATGCCCCCCACCCCACTGCCGGCATTACCTTTACGCCGACGATGACGGCACCTTGCTCCAGGTAGAGGGTGAGGTGGCTGGTGAGGTTGAAGCTGCCGGTGACCCAGCGGCCCCTGGGCACGTACAGCTGCGCGCCGCCCTTGTCGGCGAAGGAGCGGACGTAGAAGACGGCGTTCTGGAACGGGACCGTGTTGAGCGTCCTGCCGTCCCCGACGGCGCCGAACTCGGTGATGGTGACGCTGTGCGGGCGCGACCCCGGCGGCGCCTGGTCCCGCAGCTCGCCGCGGGCGCAGGCCGAGCCGCGCGCGGCGGCGGCCAGCACCACCACCAATGCCAGGACGACCTGCAGAGCAGAGCGGCAGAGCGGCATTGCCGTCGTCATGGCCGCAGCAAGAGTTAGCAAATCAATCTGTCCACCCCAACCAAACACGGCGCATTGAATTGGAAGCTAAAATCATTCGAATCAAACAAAGCTCCTAAAATTTCGCTGCTCAACCGGAACCAAAACCATCTTCGTTGCCACAAGATCTACGCGGGAACGAACGATCAGGGGAGCAACGAAAGGGCCCGCCATTCATTCCTGACCAAGATCCCGAAATCAAGTACGGATCGCACGGGATGCCAGGCGCTCGACAGCCACAGTGAAATCACCAAGCTATGCACCCCACGCGCATAAAGCCGAAAACGAGAATCCAAGAGCCGCCTGCCCATTCGGGAGCTAGCATGAAAAGCGCCATCTTTAATGGCGCAACAAAAATCCCAGAGGAAGGCGGAAAATCATCAGGCAAGCCATCAATCTAATAACGAGAGGAGAACGTACTTACTACTAGGCCCTTCATGAGTCCGTCTGCCTCCTCTCTTGGCCGCCGCTGCGGGAGGCGAGGAGAGGAGGAGGGAGATGGAGAGGGAGGCGAAGCAGCAGCGGCGATCCCAGGCGCCGCCGCCGCAAGACGCCCCACAGTGGAACACGCGGACACCGAAAAAAGAGGCTCCTTTACTCCCGGAGAATCAGTTGAGATAGATACCCCGCCACCCCGGGAGAAACGGAAGCGGAGGCGAGGGGAGCGGAACAGCCGCCGGCTGCCGCTGCAGCTGAGGGGAGAAGCTGCAGCGCCTGCTGCGGCGGCAGGGGAGGGGAGGGGATGGGTTTACAATGCTCTGCACTGATACTACTAGTAGTAGGAGAGGAGGCTACCAGCAGTAACAATACTCTGCTTCGCCTCCTCTGCCGCAAGTCTCCTCCCTCTGCTGTCTCCTCTCCTGATTATATATTTTCCAAATGTGAGTGAGAGATTATAAAAGGAGAAAGGTTTTAGATTGGGGACTAAAAACGGAAGGAGGTGAATGGGGGACTAAATTCGGCAAAAAAAAGGGTGTATTGGAATGAGTTGGCATGCTCTGATTATCCTTGTTATTATTTCATTTATTTATTTATTTATTTGTCTTGGTTTTGAGAAAATTGGGTTGGGATTTTCAAGGCGGCTCTGGTTGATGATTGGCCAATAGGATGGGGATTCAAAGGAAAGGTGAAATTCAAATTGTATTTAGAGATGGAAAGAGTTAATCTTTTTTTTTTGGTGTAGTAGTTGTTTTGTGTGTGTGTGTGTGTGGTGAGTTGTCACACGGTAAGGATATCCTCATGTGTGCATGAGCTGTTGTTGGTCACCGGGCATTGGAGAAAGACAAAAATAATTAATGAAATGGAGCATGGAGTTTTTTTTAAAAAAAAGGAAAAAGAAAAATTGTGTTGCAATTTTGCAAGGTGTTTATTTACACCTTGAGCACGTCGGTTTAGCGAAAGATTGACATTTTTTAACGAAAAGATTGACATTTTTCGTTTTGTGATGAGAATGTGATACTGCTTCTACTGTTTCGTGCAAAATGAAAATGAAAAAGAAAAAAAAGGAGATCAACTTTGGCCCCTTGCTAGGTGACGTATTATTGTAGTCAAGAGAGACAAATCCAAAAGCAATTCTTATATTTCATAATTTGTCAAGTGTTTGTTATACTTATTAAATATATGTTCACGGGCGTATAATTTAATTTAAAGTTTATAGGCCCTGTTCGCTTGTCTTAAATTTGGCTTGTTCGGCTTATTTTTTCAGCCGGAACAGTGTTTTTCTCTCATATCAATTCAGCCGAAACAGTGTTTTTCAGCCAGTTTCAGCCAAAATTCAGACCAGCGAACGGGGTTTGTGATTTCATCTAATAAAATAGGCTTAAACTTGGTCACTACTCCAGGTACTACATATTTTATTATTTATATGTAGTGGCCCTCAAATTTTAAGAAATGTATGGATGTATAGATTTTCGCAAACAAAGGCCATGTTTAGTTGCCCGGAATTGGCACCGTAGCATTTCGTTTGTATTTGGTAATAATTGTCCAATCGTTGACTAATTAGGCTCAAAACGTTCGTCTCGCAAAGTACAACCAAACTGTGCAATTAGTTTTTGATTTCGTCAACATTTAGTACACCATGCATGTACCGCAAGTTTAATGTGACAGGAATCTTTTTTTTTTTGCATAGTGCCAAAGTTTGGATTTTGGTGAAAATGGCCAAAATAAACAGCTCCGCTGCTCCGGATGGAAATCGGAAACCTCAATCAAGGCAGTCCCAGTGCAGCCGTGCAGGACTGTTCTGTAGGCTTGGAACGGACCCACAAGGCAGCTGGGGCAATCATGATGACAGGTGGGGCTGGGGTCTTTTTATGTGGGTCCATGTGCTGCATCTGAGTGGGTCCATGTGCTGACACTTGGGGCCCGTCCAATTCCTTCCTTGGATACTTTGGAGTCTGGAGTGGCACTTAAGTACACTATTTAGCCAACAATTTTCTTTATTTGATTGACATCATGTTGACAAGGTAGTACCACAGCACTAACAGAATGTAAAGCTTATAAGGAGGAGGAAACATGAACCTTATTAACCCCTTTTTTTCCCTTCAATCTGTGATGAGTGCCCAGAGAGACATAATCATGATGCTCCTCAAATTAAACAAAATGATGGCTGAAAAAAATAAGGAGTATGGGTGAGAATATTGATAAGGTTAAACTTTACTGCAGCCCTCTAATTAATTCCGATTAATGTCATGTTGGCAGGCAACAAATTGGCATCAAGCTGTGCTGAATTTTTGGAAAGGAAAAAAATTAAAAAAAATCCTGCATTTATTGATTTGGAGGAGGAGGGGAGCAGGAAAGGCTAGGAGTTGATGTGTGTGCACATATCCAGCTAGGCGTGCATGACAACTGCAACGCGTAGTACAGATCACACGGTGTGGGAGGTGAGCAGAGTCGGTGGGCTATAATTGTTGCCAAGAATGTTCTCCTTGATTAGGGCAGGACATGCTGTAGGTACACCCAGATAACAGCCTTGCAAACAAGACTCGCCATTTTTGTTTTTTTTTCTGTAGTAGACAATAGATGCAAGAGCAATATATTGCTAGTACTCATCATGAGCACATTGTGTGTTATAGAAACTATTTTCGTGAAATTTAAATGGATTTTTAACTGAGGTGAGCAGGGTGGATTAATTACGGTCCCACGAATGGTAGAACCGTAGAAGAATTTTACATAGCGAGGCATATATATGGCTACAAAAAAGGAAATAGCATTGGCATATTTCTTATTTCAAAAACTTGTGGCGATGTGTTTTAAAATTAAAACCAGTGAATTGCAGTAGCGCCATAGCCAGGATAACGAGCCAAAACCAAGCTGTTTGGATGTTGAGCAAACTTTTCTCGGATCTTGTGTGGGCGAGGTTAGCTCTTGCCAGCTCAAGCGAGCTGACAAGCTCCCCGTACCTAGCTCTGGCAAGACGAGCTCGCCTAGAAACAAAGCATGTCCCAAGTCATTTGTAATGTCAACATTTGTATTTTGTTCATTATTTATGATTTTGAGCTCACCTGAAACCAAGCACATCCTAAGTCATTTGTAATGGCAACATTTCTATTTCGTTCATTATTTATGAGTTTTGAGCTCACCTGGAACCAAGCACGCCCCAAGTCATTTGCAGTGGCAACACTTGTATTTCGTTCGTTATTTATGATTTTGAGGACTCCTATGGTCTTACACAACCATTGCGTACGAATCTTGTCTTCGTATTCTATTCGTGTGAGCGATCGACTCGACTCGACGATGTGGACGGGCTTCGAATAAAGCATGCAGCCAATGCAAGCTGGAGCCTGGAGTGGTGCGTGGAGGTTTCGACGTTTCGTTTCCGGCCTCGGGGCTCCGGCTGCCATAATTTTTTATAATTTGATCTTTTTTTTAAGAAAATTTACGTTTGACTCTTTGATAGACTTAAACTCATCTTTGGACCATGAGGGTTGGCGTCAGTAATTATGGCGCCGAGGTAACACGTCTCGGCGCCACAGATCTTGGCGCCGAGGTGCCTGACCGAGCACAGCAAGTCATCCTAGGTGACGTTCACGTGGCTGGCACGTCGGCGCCACATATCTTGACGCCGAGCTCAGCGCCACAGATCTTGACGCCAACCTTGGCGCCAGAGATCTTGACGCTGAGCTCGGCGCCATGTATTATGGCGCCGAGCATTGATTTAAAATCTGAAACCAAGTTCCCCTTGCCGACGCTGCTCTCATTCCTTCATCCCCTCTCGGTTTCTTCCTCTCCGTACCCCCGCCCAATCTCTTGAATCGACGTATTTGACCTTGGATACTTGGATTTGATCCATACATCTTCGCGAGCAAGGTATCCTCTCTCTCCTTATCAAATTTTACACATTGATTTGGTATATATCACGTCTATTATTTGCAACCCTAGATATGTTAGTACCTAATGTTTGAAGTGATTTTTTATTTTTTGTATTATGTGATGGTAGGATGCCAAGGCGTGGTAAAGCTAGTAAGCAAAGGTAATCTCTTATCATCGTGTTATATTATGTTTTTATTTTTTGTATTATGTTTTATTTTTTGTATTTATGTTCAATTGTAGTTATGGCCAGATGACCGGAAATGCCTTCAACCCGTTGCCTCTGCCTAGTGGTGTTCCAGTGCCCATGTGCTTTTGCGGCGATCCTTGCAAGGTAGCCAAGTCCGATGAGGAGGACACATATAGGCAGAGGTATTGGATGTGTGCCAATTTTACGTTTGAGCCTACACTTTGTCAGCGCCGCATTAACAAGATGGTGAGAAATTATTGTTGTTTAATATTTATTGTGTCAAATGAAGTCTTGCATGATTTATTTATTTTGTAACCATTGCATTTGTTGCAGACCCCTTCACCGCTCTGTGATTTTGAGCAGTGGATCGACACTGAGATCAAGCCAGAAGACAAGAAGTGGATGCAGAAACTGTTACGGTGGGAGGCAGACGACAAGGAGATGATGGAGAAGAGACGCAGAGAGGAGGCTCTAGAAAAGGAGCACA